CTCTCTCTCTCTCTCTCTCTCTCTCTCTCTCTCTCTCTCTCTCTCTAGATCTCTCTCTCTCTCTAGATATCTAGCTCTTCCTTCCCTTTCTCATTGAACTGGAAGGCCCTGGTGTAACTATCCTACAGGACCAGATCTAAGATCTGGTAGGCGTACCAGAGATTTCCAGAATGCCCCTCCCTTGTAGTTCCCAAAGACTGCCCAGCAACAAGCCACCCGATCGTAATCCTCTGCCTTTTTCATTCGGTCTAGGCCCTTCTCCGCGTCGGTGCACAAATTTACTGGTGTTCCCCCGTTGGGTGGCCTTCAATAATTCCACCACTCCTCCAGAAGACTGGGCTGTTCTAGGTCGTTCACTCCATAGGACCAGATAAGCCAGGCCTCCTTTTTTTTCTTTTTTTCACTTTTTTTCATTTTTTTTTAAAGCCTGGCCTCCTTTTTGGGGCCATGTTCAACCTGTGCTACCAGTTGAAGAGGCCTGATTTCCCCAGTGCCCAGTTGAACAGGCTTAATCAGGCCACTAATCTGCCCACTATCCTGACCAGATTCATGGTCCGGTAGGGGCATCTCTTTTCCAGCACTCTGCATTATCTTTGCGATCTGAGGCATTCCTTTTGAGCTGCACAGTGTGAATCCAGGTCTGTCCCATGCCCCAACACGCCACACCCCCTTTCCCCCACAACAGACACACTTTCCCCACTGGGCTCGACAGGACGTATTGCAATTCGTGTGCTTTTTTTTTCCTTTTTCTTTTTTTTTTTCTTTTTTTTGAAATTGGTGTGCTTTTTCCTTTAGCTGCTTAGCATATAAAGTTGCTTATTTAATATTTAGCGCGTGCATTACAAAACAATGGATGTATACGTCGTATAGTTTTCTCCTCCCTCTAGTCGGGGTGATAACCAAAAAATGTTTTTCATTCATCAATTACCGTTTTCCATGCGAAAAACAATGTTTCACGCTGACTACTATAAGACTGTCAGCAAAAAAAAAAAAAAAAAAAAAAAAAAAAACCTAAACCCTTAACCCTATGGTGAAGTAAATAATGTGAAAATTGCAACCTTCAGCAGAATTATTAATATAGTCGAGACTCGATACTAGACTTACTGGTCGATAGTACTTGATACAACATTACTTTTCCACGACAAAGGTTCGGTTTGAACTTTGAAGTTTGAACACCAGGACTATTACTGTGGTTAAACAGCTCGCGACCGTCGGCAGCGGTGAGGTTGATCATCGACGACATTCCGCAGATACAAGTGATACAAATGCATTGCTTGCTGTCGTACAACTTCAGTTCGGTCACAAAAGGCGCCAGCAGAATACAAACTTACAAAACAAATTAAAATTCAAAACAAAGAAAAAAAACAGAAAGCATGCAGTGTTAGGAGAGGTACTGGAATTTCTAGAGACTGGCGAAAAACCTACCTTGGGCGGAGAAGAGGGAGCAGTCGCTCAGTAACTGCCTTTGTACCATGGTAATTGGTGTCGATGGTCACTTTGGCCTCCTCAGGTCCAAAAACATTACCATGGTATGCAAATCCCGCATTGTTCACCTGCGATGATATCATGATGACACATTACAAACATATTACTCTCTCTCTCTCTCTCTCTCTCTCTCTCTCTCTCTCTCTCTCTC